CTCCCAAAATTTTTCTTCTTCAAAAAAGGATTATATACTTGCACTTTGGTAACTTACACCATACTTCACTTTGACATCTCATAGTTCTTTGAAACTTTGATATTTGTCCTTCAAAATCCACGATAATTCCATATAATTTTTTCTAACACTTTGTTATGACAAAATTTATACTTTTTTAACTTTGACATACAAAGTTTCGCTTTTGACACTTTGATCCCCCAAACTAGGGTTTGAGTACCAAAGTTAAAAATATGTAAATTTTAAAGTATCAAAGCAAAAAAAAAAAAAAATGTAGATGTTTGTGGTATGATAAAATATTTGTAATTTTTGGGGTATTAAAGTGTTTAAAAAAACTTTGAGTTATTAAAGATAGAAAGGTGGTTTTAGAGAATAGGGTTCATCAATCAACGTTGGTGGTATTGAGCCAATGTAAAGGTATGAGGTTCCTTTATCTAAGATAGGTGGACTGTCTGAGCAAATCAGGTGGAACATGTGTCACCATCCTATTGGCTAAAATAGTCATGACATGTGGATTTACTTGGTGAGCAAGTAAATCCACATGTCAATACCTCATTAGTGAATCAAAATAGCAGGACTTCAAAAATCGCTGAAAAAGAAAAAATACAAAGATATAATAAACTAAAGGGTAAATTGCACATAGCTCCCTTATCTATACCTTCAATCAGCTCATTTATTAGAACTTATCAGTTATCCCCTCTCAATTCTTATGGAGATAGTACTACGTGCTAATAAATAGCTTAGGGGGTTAAGTGGAACTGAAGATATAGATGAGGCGTTTATGTACAATTTACGTTAACCTAAGTTTTTTTATAAATGTAGTAATTTAAAAATTTTGAAAAATTTTGGACACTGACTGGATTTGAAATAACTTTAAATATTAACTGTTATCTCAATACATATTGACCTTTACTCTAAAAGTTACACATAAAACTTAATTGTGTAAATGTAGTCTTTGTTAGTGCAGTTTTTGCATATATAAAATATAGCATCCTTTTGCATAAACACCCAATTAAATTCTATAACGACAAAAAAGTTAAATTGAAATTCGATCACGAGAGAGATTGTATTCTTTTCAAACTTGGAATGTTAGGAATAAAGATAAAAGTTATTCGGTTTCTCTGTAGAAGACTTACATTGTTATGAACCAAGGTTGAGGTGGTCAGAATTAGGTCTAACGGCAGCGCCTGAAACAGTGAGTTAGGATAGCAGCTGTAGGCTTTCCGGTGCGTGCATAGGACTCGGTAACTTGAGGCAGCAAAGCACGAAGACGAAGCGACTTGGCGCATAGGACTCGGTAACTATAGGCAGCAAAGCACGAAGATGAAACAAAAGTAGCTGTTTATACTAATTAAGAACAAAATTTCCTCAAGAATGTGTACAATTTAAGAATGTTTTCAGCCTTTTTCATTATAGATCATTTTTAGTTTCTTCTCCCAAGCATACAAATGCTGCTCCGCTTTCCCCTCAATGGGGCATGGCTTCGGTCGAAGATGATCATAGCACGGCTTCGGTTCGATGGAAGATGATCATAGCACGATGCCGACGAAGTAATAGTCTGAAAAAGCTACATGCAGGTTAAAAGCCTGACTTAAGATTCTGGACTTCTCATGCGTATAATCATCAAAGTAGCCTCATTACAATTAGTATAGTGTTAACATTGCGCAGGAAATTTAAGAGGTTATATCTTAAAGATTGAAACTGCTTTCACAAAACACAACACGGCACTGCTGTTACCACTTCTCTTGAACAATATGATGGCGGGCTCCTCAAAATTTATGGTCATAGTCAAGCATGAGCATAGGCAAAATATGAGAACTCCAGAGCATAACTTATGATAGCAAAAAACCACGATTCTACACAACTGAAAATGTCTGGCAGAACAAATAATATGAGCAACTGAAAATAAACCACTGAACATTAGTCGCAATCTCTTTGGAGCATGATACTCCTTTTATTTTCTTTTTGACTCTCTTTATAAACACAACAAATAATGGGCTAAGCTGGAAATATTTTAACTAGATAACAAATTGTGGGAGCAAAGTCCATGAGATTGTAATCCTAGCATTCACAGCCTGATGATGACCTTTGCTGCCTCCCACCAGCTACATCTATGGTGTCTGGAAGGTATCTGCACCAATAAATAAAGGAAGCTAATAAACATCTCATGTAAAAAGAAACAAATTGTAAGCACAGCTGCTTAAAATAACAAGAGCTATAGTTGACTTTTCCAAGACACTAAATATCAGAGTATCCAGAAAAAGATTCTACGGAGAACCCTCTATAGAGAGAGGAGAACACGACACGTCCCGCTACCAATTCTAAGTAAATAACATCAATGAAAGCAATCTCAGCAATTATTAATGTTGTATCAGTGCAATGTTGTACCAGTGCAATCACCAACTCGAAATTTGCATTGGACGTGTGTCATGTTCCTCCTTCCCATATAATTTTTTATTAAGGGCCCTCTACAAGTTTCTTTTATATAGGTATATACAGCTTAATTTGATCAGAAGTACGATAATGTAACTGAAAATTGCATATATCAATACTCACATCTCTTCCTCTGGTTCATTTTTGAGGGCATTCTTCGCTATACACTGAAAAGCAGCTTCCACATTAAAGCCTTCTTTAGCAGATGTCTCAAAGTACGGGATGTTCCCCTTGGAAGCACACCATGCTCTAGCCTTCTTCTCTGAAACCTGATGATTCAAAGAAAGAAAAATGTCACACTAAATATTTTTCCTGAAAGCAAGCTTTCATGGATATCTGCTAACCATGGAGAGAATACAAACTTACCACTCGGCTATTTCCACCATCCACATCAATCTTGTTCCCCAACACTACAAATGGGAAGTTGTCTGGGTCCGAGGGACTAGCCTGAGAAGGATAAAATCAATATAGAAAGTTGGGTTCAGAGTTCACATTCAACAACATACAGTGATAAGCTCTAATTACCTGAATAAGAAATTCTTCCCGCCAGTTGTTCAGGTTGTCAAATGACTTTTGGACATTAACGTCATAAACAAGAACACAACAATCTGCACCACGATAGAAAGCCACCCCAAGACTCTGGAATCTCTCCTGACCAGCTGTATCCCATATCTGATGGTTGCAATACAAAAGTCGAAATGAGATTGAAAGGATCACATACACATATGCAGACAGTTGGACGAAGGCACGCATGCACAAACACACAGGAAGGGAAGCTGACATAGGCTAGCAGAAGCTTTTAACAATGATATTCGCAGTGCTACACCAATAATTTTTTAATTGTCCCTCCATGAACACAAATAAATATTGTTATATGCCTCTTCTGCTATTTTAATGGAGAAGAATAGTAAAAGCAAATAGTATGACATTCTCTGCAAGTTAAATGCAGAACAACTGTAAGAGAAAATAGTTTGACATTCAGCTGTTTTGACACCACGATGAACTGGAGAAGTAGAGAACAAACACGGAGGTACTAAAAGAAGTTCACAGTCTAGATTGTGTTCATTATGGCAATTTAATAAAACAAACTTTAATGAGTATTATATAAAAGTGAGCCCCACGTAACTTTTTTCTTTTTTCATAAATGCTACTACATTCTGATGAATGAAAAGAGATAGAATAGAAATAACAAAAGTTGCAATAGGAAAAAAAGAAAAGAAAAATTAGAAAGTTATTATGCTCATTTCATGAATAAGACATCACGATTAACATGCAAGAAAGAGCAACACTTCAGTATATGCTATACTATGTAAATTTAGAAGCAATAATTATCAACTATAGCCCTTGAGTCCCATTGTAATTCCATTGGCAAATCATATATAGACAATACATAACCACAAAGGTGACGACTAACTCTGCAGATTTCAAAACAAGTACAGAAATCAGGACATGTTTTCTCTCATACAAAGGTATATATGGTTGTTATTTATACATGAAAGAATATAACCAATATATTTTCGCCCAAAGAGGCAGAACGTACTTCAGTTATGCATTTTTTTTAGCTGAATACTTATGACAATTATAATTATAGTATTTATACATGAAAGAATCCAATATAACCAATATATTTTTGCCAAAAAAGGCAGAACAAACTTCAGTATACATTTTTTTAGCCGAATACTTATGACGATTATAATTATAGATGCAAAATAGAATCATCTTCCCTCATTCCACATTTGGTTCCCTGATTTCTGTGTTCAACCTGATTTATGGGATCAAGCGGAGGCAATTCAAAACAAACATTGATGGAGCGAATTTCAGAAGTAAGAAAATAGTCTGGAGGTTTCCAAATTTCCCTTATTAACCAAGTCTAGAACCTTAAACCTGAAATCAGATACATATTAGAAGATTTTATTTCAGGACTGGAAAAATTAATTAGATTAACCACCATGCTCATCAGTAACTAACAGGAGGTCTGCATAATGGTGTTTATGGACTTGAAACTTTTATGATCACAAAAAATGTGCAAATTAATTTTAGTGAGTTATATCCAGGTTATTTTTGCTGCTTTACATGCCGATATTTGTTTCATCCTATATCGGGCTGCATCGTTGTCAACTTATACCATTCATGTCTGGAAGCATAACTTTCCTGTGTAAAATCTTATTGTCTTCTATCCTTTTGCTAGAATAATGTTGAAATAGAGTTTCTCCTTGTTATGTCAGCTTAACTAGCAAACGACATTGTTAACGAAGAGGTCTTCATACCTGCCCCTCTTATTAATAGTTATTTGACAAGAAACTTGTCAACAGCCTAGATTATTGAATCATATTTATAGCCAATCATCAACTTTACTCATTTTTTTTCAAGGAAGCTTACTGATATAGAGTTGTGCTCCACAGCTGAACCATTTCGTATGGAAAAGGCACAGTGACTGTAAGGATTATACATTGCATTATTTTTAAATGTACAGACAAACCAACAATTCTTCAACTTTAGAATCAATAGTTCATCTCACTTTCTGACACATTTCCACATGGGGTTGTATCAGATAAAATGTTTCATTAAGCATTAAAATAACCAGGTCTTCATCCATGTAGAACTTACCCAAGCTTAATAGAGTGGCTAAACTATTTTTAAAAAAATATCATTATTCAACTTGTATACGAGTGTCACCGTGAACTTTATTTTCTCATTATTTCTTCCATCACAGGCTCATCATTGTCAACAGCAGTTACATTCTCATTTCCTTTTCTAACAGAGTTCTTGTTCCTCTATACATCCACCCTAAAAATCATCAAACCTAACTACCTCGGAGATACCTATATGCCTTGTCTACTGTCCACTATGCTCGTACGAAAAATAGACGTGGAAATTGTTACTTAAATCTCCCATAAAGTCAGTAATATATACATTAAGGCAAGCATATAATTAACTGCATAACATTTTGCATACACAAGGATAGTTGCACTGCTCATATCTTGATATAAATTTCTAGTGGCAAAGAAAAATGTGCCACTGATAAGAAACCATCACACTATCCAAATAAACCCCAGTATGGTTGTCAAAATTACTGATCATTTACGGGGCAAACATTCTATAATATGTATCGCTCAATAGGGATTCCAATAACCTAGGATCAAGCACAATTAATAAAGAGACCCCAATCACCCTGATGTAACTCTGACTAAAGGGAAAAAAATCAGCATCAGAGCAAAAAATAGAAAAGATCCTCGATACCTTGATAGAAATTGATGTGTTAGAAGAGGATAGAATCTGTAAGTTGAGGAGGTCAGTAAAAGAGATGACCTATCTTCAGAAATCAGAATTAACTACTATTGTACATCAAGAGGAAACTTTACGGAAACAGAGATCTGAAGTACACTGGTTAAAGGAAGGGGAACAAAATACATCATATTTTCATAAGATTGCAAGTATCGGACAAAGATCAAAGAAAATTTCTGCGATCGAGGAAGATGAGTACAAATTTGTTCTGATGTGACGATTGTTGATGCTTTCTATAACTACTATAAACATTTGGTCAATAAATTCAACAAAGATGTCAGATTAATTGGCCTATGTTGTTTCCTTCTATGGAGTGGGGAGCTGAATATTTAGAAATTCCTCTCTCAAGATTAAGAAATCTGTGTTTGGCACGGATGGGGGTAAATCACTAGGTCCTGATGGTTTATCTCCACCCTTTTGTCAGGAATTCTGGGAGGTTATTAAGGGTGATATTATAAAAACCTATGACGAGCTTTTTGAAGGAAAGCTGGAAATAAAGAGGTAGAACTATGCTCACATTGTCATCATTCCTGAAAAGGAGAATGTTTTGAGTGTTAGCGATTGCACGCCAATAAGCTTACTCAATGTGATATACAAGATTATTACGTAAGTGTTAACAAACAGGTTGAATGAAAAGTTGTCTTTACTTATTGATCCTGTTCAGACAGGCTTTATCAAGGGTAGATTTTTACTAGATGCGGTGGTAGTGGCTCAAGAAATTATCTCAGATCATTTCCAAAAAAGCAAAAACATGGTATTTTGTTGAAACTGGATTTTGCCAAAGCCTATGACAAACTTGATTGAGATTTTATTTTGGAAGTTTTTAAAGCTAAGGGTTTTTGGTAGTAGACAGTTGACTTGGATTTCATCTTGCTTGAATGGAGGGTTGTCTACAAGTATTCATAATGGTCGGCCAGCGAAATGAATTCTATCTAGAAGAGGGGTAAAACAAGGGGATCCTCTATCTCCCCTTTTATTTAAGACCTTTGTCCTGATGAGATGAAACCAAAGATTCTTAGTCTGCAATATGCTGATGATATGTTGGATATTCTGCCATGCTAATCAAAGTCATTTGATTGTATTAAAACTACTTCTCTATGGGTATGAACTAGTATCAAGATTGCAGATTAACTTCTCTAAAAGTGTTGATTACATTGGATACAACTCAAAGTTACAAAATTTTGCAACTATGATAAATTGTATGAGTAGAGACTTTCCTATTACTTATCTTGGTATGCCATTATGACCAACTAAGCTCCACAAGGAAGATTGATCTCCCCTTCCCTATAAGATTAAATCTAGGCTATCAAACTAGAAACATAGAACACTTTCTAGAGGTGGGAGGTTTATTCGCCTTAATTTAGTTCTAAATGCTATGCCTTTATTTTGAATGTCCTTTATTCCCTTCCCTGAGTGGATGTTAGAGAAGATTGATAAAATTAGTAGGAGGTTTTTGTGGACTGATACTTTGAAGCATAAGGGAGCTTTAGAATACATTAAATATGTTTAGACTACATATTACAATGTTATGTTATATATGAACATCTGACAGACACAACAATATTTTTTTATACATATCCTTGATATATCCCTGATCTTCGCAATCTAATATGTATTTTGACTATATGATAATTTTGTGATATCCAATATTTAATGCATTGGTGCAGACCAAAACTTTTTGGAGGACTTGGTGTCCTTGATTTCAAACTGATCAAGAAAGTCCTTTTAGGAAAATGGTTGTGAAGATGACAAATCGAAAGGATGTATTTTGGAAAAATATTATTAAGAGAAAGTACTATTCTAACAATGTAGTTGTTTTGCATACTAATATGCAAGGTTTTAAATGTCGGATGTCAGGTTCATGTCGGACGGCTAGAATTCATGTCAGATAGCGAAAATCGGGGATATGTCGGGGATATGAAAAAATATCGGATTGTCATATCGGATGGTTTGCATGTGTAATATAAATATCATAAATAAAATCTAAATAGACTTAAAAATTCTATTGTTTAAACATATAAAAAAATAAATAACTTATGATATTTAGGGTTGATGTTGAAGGAAAGATGTGAGAAAAGAGGACTCCAATATTAGCGGTTAAGAAGAGAGAGATCGCTCAATATTGATGTCGAAGGAATAGCTCGAAAAAGAGATCGATGAAATGTCGAAGGAGAGACTGAAGATAAGCGAGGATATTACTTCGGTATTTTTTTTCCATTTCCCTTAACTTATCGATTTTTGTCTTTGGAAGTAATATTAAGAAAATCAAGAATTTTAAACCCAAACTTGATTAGATAAACATAACCAAAAAAATCAGCCAATTTTTCAAACTGAAAAATCAACCGACATATCACCCGACATATCCGACATGTCCCCCGATATATCCGACATGAACCCTGAAAACGCAATACGCATTGAAAAGCTCCATATTGTGTCGGTTGGCCCCTAAATCTAACATGCCGGCCGACATTTAAAACACTGCTAATATGTATTAGATGCCTTTTCTTTCCTAGAGAAACCCCCTTTAACAAATTGAATGTATTTTATTGAATATTATTGTGCATATTGGAATTGGTGATTTCACCTTCTTTTGCTTGGATAATTGGACTTCAAAGTTTACTTTGGCTTCCTCCTTTCCTAAGCTCTTTTAGTTGGCTGTTTCACCTTACGCTACTATCAAGTCTCAAAAGCTTTCCATGGGTTCAGGTTAGATATGGATTATGCAATTCTCTAGATAACTTTCTGGTGACCTTATTTTTCAGTATTTAGAGTTATTGCATCTTCTCCATAGCTCTGGAATAACTCTACCATTCATGACTATTGGACATGGAGTTTGGAGGCTAATGATAGATTTTCTACAAATTATCTCCATAAATTTATGGGTGACGAGGGTATGAAGGTTTCTTATTGTGTTATCTGGAAAGTTAAAACTCCTTTGAAGATTAGGATGTTGATTTGGTTTAATTTACAAGGAAAGCTGAACATAAAAGATAGATTCTTGCACAAAAACTTCAAGCTGACGCTAACTGTGTGCTATGTGGTAGGGAGAATGAAACACATGCCCATTTGTTTCCAGAGTGTATGTAGTTATGTTCAATCTGTGTGGAAATCGTGCTTTAAGTTTTGGACTCAGGACTATCCTCATGATCTATTAGTGTTATGGGCGAACTGGAGAGGCTCTGTGTTGAAGAGTGATCAGAAAATAAATTGGGAACTTCATTTCTGTGCTCTCAGTTAGTGCATCTGGAGGTAAAGGAAGAACAGAATCTTTCTACACAAACACATACTCTCTAGATATCTGGAAGAAAATTGTTTTCTGTCTCTTTTTGGTCAGGTAGTTATTTACAAGAGCTTGTGACAAATGGCGATAACTCTAGGAGTTCTTGTGGTCGAAATACTGCTGGTGAAAGAAATCATGGATCAGCTTCATCAAGGATGTAACAAAGCTCAACAGAAAAGTTTTGATGGTGGAGATGAAGGCCATATTGAATGAATTTTAAACTTTTTTGGAAAACTTTTGTTGTATATATGGGTTTTAAACTTCTCTGGTGTAACGATGTTAGGTGTTTGCTCGTGACTAACTGTGTTCTTAGTCTTTTAAAGATGTTCAGGTGGTGTCATTTGTAATGGACATTTTGTGATTTTACAGGCCACGCTCTAGAACTAGGAGTATGGCCTTTACAATTGTAACGCTATATTTTGGGTAATGGAATGGCTGGAATGTCCATTTGGAGGTTCCATTCTTGCTTTTCAAAAAATAATAATAATAAACCACATGAATGAATCAAATATCCTTAATATGACAGTGAACTTATTAAATTATGTCATGTCAAAGCTATATCATTTTAAGAACAATACAGGACAAACTGGAAGATTAGATCTAATTAAGACTAAAGTAGATGAAAATGATAGGATTCCAAACTTATATTTGATTTTATCTTTTAGAATTTTTAGACAAGATATTTGATTTTATCTACAATATTGGAGTTGTCTAGATTTCAATTTTCAATTGTATTAGGATAGAATTTCAAGTTTGAATTTTAAGTTGTATAAGAGATAGGATTCAACTCTATTTAAGCAGTTTGTGACTTTCAGTAATTCAGCAAAGAGAAATGGCATATAAAAAGTGTGAAAATTTTAGCATGCGATTTGCTAGTAGGCATATGATTTTCCCACACTGCAAAGGTTATGTGCTCATGTGTAATTTTAACCTACCACATTTTAACCTTATCTTCGTTTAATTTTAGTTCCTCAAATAATCTCAACAACATATCTTTAACCAAATAAAAAATTCAAACTCAACTGCCCAACTCAAAGCCCTGGCCGCAACTCCAAACTCAAAAACATCATCCAAACAGTCAGTCACTGCATCTCCCAAATCCAAACAGCAGACACCAGAACATAGCCCCTAACGGAAAACACCATAGCAACCTTCTCCTTAGTGATCAAATAATCTTAACCACATCTATAACCAAATTAAACAAATTCAAATCCAATTCTCAATTCAAATCACTGATTGCAACTCCAAACCCGAAAATCCTCATCTAAACAGCCATTTGCTGACACTAAAATCCAAACAGCAGACACCAGAACTCTCAATGTTACATTAAACGATGGGCGCTTCTAAGCGTCGGACTTGGCGCCCAGCGCTTAGTCGCCTAGGCGGGCGCCTAAGCGGTTTCTGAGCGTTTTTTTTCTTTTTTATTTTTTAATTGTGATACTTGAAGATAAATATATATATACTCAATCAAAGATGCATAAATACTAAAATACCAACACTATTAACTAAATTGCTTGGTTTACCAATTACAATAGCTCTTTGTATGTTTATACTTCGCAACTCAAATTATAAGTTCATCTCAACTCAAATTGCAATATGTATTAACTTCATATAAATTTTCAAAAAAAGATAGCTTTTTTAGTTCCACAATAAATCATGCATGCTTAGATACTAAATAACCAAAATAATAATTAACAGGGCTAGAGCCTAAGATGTTTTCTTTTTTTTAATTACAATAATTGATAGTGAATGTCAATGTTACAGAAAGCTTAGATGTTGGACTGGTGTCTAGACAGATTTCTTTCTTCATTTAAGTGGAGGTCGATGAGGTTTTGTTGAAGGTTGGAGGAGTTCATATTTTTAGGTTAACGGAGTTTGGAGGACGTGTAGGCTACAACACATAAAATCACAACCAAGGCCTATAGGATACAATCCACGTAAACAGACAATACTCCCCTAAACGCTCGTAAAATCTAGGTGGGCAGCTTAAATACCACCTAGGCCCTAGACGCTCGTTAGGCGGTCTAGGTACCGCCTAGGCCTAGGCGAACGCCTAAGCGGACTAGGCGGAGGTTTTTTAAAACAGTGAGAACTCTAATCCCCAACAGAAAACACAAAGCAACATTCTCGATCATCAAAAGACCACCATCTCCCTGTTCATCTCTTGATCCTGATTTAGCCAGAGAACAAATTAAATATCTCAGTGTCCGTAAATCCTTCGTCATCCTTTGCCAGCAACAACCAAGCGCGAGCAATTATTGCTAGACTTTCAATGCACCAAACTTCAACCATCTTCATCTTTGACGCCTCAACAACCTCTATTGGATTCCATACCCAGATCAGTGCCTCAACACTGCTGCGGCTCTCTTTTATTGACACATCCACCATAAATGACAATGCCGATGATTCGCAGCAATCTGTTGACTAAAACTCGAGCTATCGACAATCTATCGAACAAATGGTTCCAATGAAAATTCCCGACAAAGTTATCAAATTACAGTTAATAGATCAACTTCCTTAGATCATTCTTAAGATCATAGTTCCGCATCAATCAATGTAGTGGTAGAGTTTCCTTCCAGAACAGGTTAATTAATTGTAGAAGCATGTTCTATCAACTATTTTCCATTCTCATTTATGTAGCTATAATGGATTATCCAAAGGGTTCCATTTTCATTGAGGTTGCTAGTTATGTAACACCCAAAGAGGGACAAGTTGACAAGTTTTGAAGTATTTATATGCATACATCCATCATTATTATGGTCAGATAATAGCAAAATTATAAATATTGATGTACTTCAGTTTAAGCCTTAAGCAAACTCGAACTACCCCCTATGTATGATAGAAATAAGTATAGATCACTATACAACATAACAAATATATTTTAATTGTTAAAACAGAAATAAGAATGAAAGTAAGGAATAGACAGTAATTGAGGCACCAATTACTAAAAATTAATATCTATATGCATATTATGATTCTTTATAAGTGATATGCACTTATTACTTAAAATTCAGCCCACAAGTATTGATTTTGGTAATTGTTTACAAGTGCTATACATAGTATCGCACCGGGCACAATGCAATGGGCACACTAATGGTTCAGTCCTCATCATAACTAATCAGCACCGCTAAGACCAAGAAAACGAAGCCATTAAGTATCTTATCAAAATAAACCAGACAAGAAAATACCGCTACTTACATGACAAAATAACGATGCTATCAAACTAGCACCCGTGCAAGAAGATTCAGAAAGAAAGAAAAATACACTAATTCAAGTAGCCACCCAACTCCAGCACTGTCCTAAAGAAATCAAGATTATTTAACTTAGGATGCAAAATATAGCACAATGATAATCAACAGAAATGGCGCAACAGTCCACACTCATCTTAAATGCAAAATCGAAAAATGGTATTCAAACGCAGCTGCGTCTATCATCACCCGCGGTTCAATATGAATAAAAATAGCTGAATTGGTAGGCACTAACACGAAATAAAAAAACAAAAAAAATTCTTTTTGACGAAGTGGGAAAAAAAAAGACGAAAACAAAAAAGGGGAATCTCACCTGTAAAGTGAAGAGCCTGTCCTCAAACTGAACCTCTTTGGTTAAGAAATCAGCCCCAATCGTGGCTTTGTACTGGTTGCTGAACTTCTTATTCACATATCTAAAATTACCGAATTAAGTCCAAACCACGCGTAAAAAAATAACTCCAAATCTCAGATCACACTTAAAAAAATACAGATTATTGAAATCCAAAGCTCATAAGAACTCAAGGATACTGATTCATCAGCGACGTCTTCCCAACCCTAAACACGATCAAACAAAAAGTTTCAAAAAATTACAAAGAATCAGACGCAAAAATATGAAATTCAACAAAAAATAGCGAGTCGGGCCGATGTACTCACCCGCTGTCGCCGAGGATGATGACCTTGAGAAGCATACGCCTTCGAGTCGCCATGGATTCGAATCGACTGGATGGATCCCGTGTGTGTGTGTGTGTGAGAGAGAGAGAGAGAGAGAGAGAGAAAACCCTAATTTTCGTTGTGAAGAAAAAGGGGATTTTCGGTTCAGGTGGGAAGAAGAAAAGAGGGACGGCAAATGATTGGTCTCGACGATAGACCAGCTTCAGGAGTCAAAACTTCGCCTGGATTTTTTGTTGTAGTTACTGAACTGGGCTTTTCGGGCTTTACGTATGTTCGCAACACTTTAGCGGTTCGGATATGCCTTGGATATTAGATACACATTCGAATACGGAGCAGCAAAATTTGGATACGGATGGGGATAAACATGTGCATATACAAATCCAGGGCTGTACCTAGAAATTTTGGGCCCCAAGGCGAAATATTTGATGAAACCCAAGTGATACAACTCATAATAGATTTTATCACATTCTTCTTATCTTTTGAGCTGTAAAAGTACTAATTAAAGTTTTATATTCAATATTTTCTAACATATTATTTTCGATAGATAATATTGCTAAACCATTCAATCTATCTTGTAACATGGTCGATCTTAAATAAGATTTTAGTAATTTTAATTTTGAAAAACTTCTTTCAGCAGAAGCAACTGTTACGGGTATAGTCAATAATACACGATAAGCAATACAAGTATTTGGAAAAGAATCTAACCACTTAATATAGTTTAACACTTCAATTGGATTATTAGTCTCTACTTTTAAATTTTCCCTAAGCACTCTCAATTCTGAAAACAAATCAAGTCCATTAATATTTGAATGTTCATCACGTTTTAGTGCATTTTCGAAATTAAGATAATATTCTTTCAATTCAATATCATCTAAAGCTTTTAATTTTTTCAAATCAAACAAAAAACCAAAAAAAAATCATACGTTTTAAATTGTTCAAACCTACTTTCAATTGAGCCAAGTGATTTATCAACTATGTATAAGAAATATTCAATAAGAAAAGATTCTTCAGCGTTAAATATTGTTTCATTACCAATATTTTTATCAAATTGTTTTTCTATGAATTTTACGTTTTTCACGAAATATAGGCTGTACATTCATTTCATTAGCAAGTTCTTTAGTTGAATTCAAAGCAGACATAAAACCATTTTGTCTATAATTTTCTAAATATACAATAAGACCCTTTAATTGATCTATGACAACATCAATATGCATATCTTTAGATTATAAGATTTTACTAACTGAATTAACAGCAAACAATATGTCATACCAAATATTCATAGCTAATAAGAATTCAAAATTTCAATCTCATAAGTTGCTAAGCTATATAGCTTCACTTTTTATCTTTGGATCTTCACTAATTTCTGTTAATTGAATCAAAGCATCTCTTATATTTGGAGTTTGAAATTTTATTACTTTAACACTTTCAATCTGACTTCCCCATCTAGTTTGTGGTAAAGATTTAATGGATAACTTGCATCCACTATCTTCTAAAAATTTTCATCGTTTAGTAGAGGAAGCAAACAATGAGTATATACGTTGAACACTCCAAAAAAAGAAATAGTTCTAGGACATGAATTAGCTATATCACATAAGACTAAATTTAAATTATGACAACCACATGATGTGTAGAATGCTCTAGGATTTATATCTAATAGCCTCTTTTGTACTCCATTGTGTTTTCCTTTCATATTAGATCCATTATCATAACATTACCCTCTTATTTCTTTAACATCAAGTTCATATTTTTTTCAAAATATTTAAAAGTTCATCAAAAAGGCATTTTCCCGAAGTATTATCTACTTTTAAAAACTCTAAAAAGTATTCTTCAATTTTTATTGGACTTGTTGAAGTATCAACACATCTTAAAATAAGAGTCATTTGTTCTTGATGACTTGCATCTGGAGTACAATCAAGGATAACTGAAAAATATTTTGCTTCTTTTATTTTTTTTAATGATCATTTTTTTAATTTCAGAAGCTAGCAACTCTATTAGTTTATTTTATATTTTATGACTAAGATAATGATTTTGAATTTCACCTTCTTGAATACGTTTAACATGTTCTTGCATTATGGGATCAAATTCTGCTATCATTTCAACTAAGCTTAAAAAGTTATCATTATTTTTTCATATATCTTTTCTTTTGTTCCTCAAAATGCAGGATTATTTTTTGATAGATGTTTTACTATAGCAATAAGTCTTAGCAAAACTTTTTTCCAGTGTTCTTTTTTTTTATTAATTTGTTCTTGAATGTTTTTATCTATTGTCTTATTTTTTATAATCCCACTTCGAAATCCACCCATTTACACATATTAATGATATGTTCATGACTTGTTTCATGATTTTTAATTTTGTATCTAAGATTTTTGCAATCTCTGGTACATTCATTAACTGACTGACTTATACTAGAATTTAAAGTAAATAATTTGCAACAAAAACAATAAACTTTATCTACATCTTTCGAGTAAACTAACCATCTTCTTTCATGTTTTCTCCTTTGACAATTTTTTTATGTAATATGATGTAGAAAAATGTCTATTATTTTCATCTTTACGAAAATCTACTTCTTCATATTTAATTGGACCTTTTTCAACTATTAGATCTATAAAATTTTGATAAATACATTTCCATTGTCCAGGATCATAAATATTGATAAGAATTGAATTTGATATCTCATTCATCTCTAAATTTTTTTCCTTGGCCCTCATGTGAATTTTCTTTATATTCTTCATTAAAATTAGGAGTACTAACTTTTTCTTCTTGAATATTATTATCGTTAATATCATTATTTTGTCCTAAATTCTCAACATATTCTTCTAATTCATTCTCAAGTAAAGAATCTAAAGATTCATGTATTCTTTCTTCTTTTGTTAACATTATCTTTATTACTAAAAACAAATTTATCAAGAGCTCCTTGTTTGCATCAAAAGTTGCTTCCATTGATAATTCTATTGAACTTCAGTCGTTTACAATGAATTACAATGAAAAAATTAGAAAATTACAACTCTTGAGAAACTAACACAAAAATCGTCTATCGATTCTTGTTTTTGTGGGACATTGCCTGTACCAGGAACGCTTTGGTTCGTGGACCGCCGAATCACAGATCGTGAAGAGGGGGTTTACTGATTCTGACTTCGTTCGAATCACAGATCGTGAAGAGGGGGTTTACTGATTCTGACTTCGTTTATCGAAGTGAGAAATTGAAACGATATCTTATCGAAGTAAGATAGTCGTTCTTCTTAAAATTAAGTCAAAGCTTAATTTCAAGGAGTTGCACGAAAACTCAAATCTGCTCTCTCTGCTCTGGATTATTCGAAAATATGCTCGATCCTCGTCAGTAGTGACCCTAGGGGGGTATTTATAGCCTCTGGAGTTCATAACTAAAAAAACTCAACAAACGACGAAATTAGACTGGCGAGACAGTGTTTACTGTCTCGCTGGGCGAGACAATGTTTGCTGTCTCGGCCCGCGAGACAGTAAATACTGTCTCGAAAACAGTAACCGCAAGCAGTTTTCGTTTTAACTGCCTTCCCATGTTTCAAACTCCGTTATTTTGGCAGTTATTCACGTGATTTTCGCCCACGATGTTTCCCACGTCCCCCGGCAGTTAATGGATATGTGTAGGGCAGTTACAAAGGTGGTTTTGACCATTTCAAAGCTGTCTCGCTGGTGAGACAGTAAAGTCTGTCTCGCTGGCGAGACAGCAAACACTGTCTCGCTGGCGAGACCGCAAAGTCTGTCTCGCTGCGAGATAGCAAAGACTGTCTCGCTGCGAGACAGTAAACTCTGTCTCGCAGGCGAGACAACAAAGTCAGTCTCGCTGGCGAGACAGTTCATATCTGTCAATTTTGGGTGATTTTTCCTATGTTTGAATATCTATTAGCATTTTTTGATGCCTACAGATACCCCCTCCAAAGTATTCCAGACTCATTTTTTTATAGAGGAGCATGGGATACTTTGGATAAGATAGATTTTACTTACGATCCCTTCAATGCTTGGTTGGGTAGATCGTGTGAAAGGACTTGCGACTGGCTTCAATGCTTGATCTCTTCTGCTTTTAGTCTATTCAGTTCTTCGTAGAATAGCTAATGTTTTCCCGGCGTCGCGTTTATCGCTTGACCGTTGTCGAGGTTGGTATTTGCTCTTGTGGGTTCAGCTTTTATCACTGAATTGATATATCCATTGAGAGCTCATCAGGTTATCCTTAAGAATATTCAAATTAATATTCTCCAGAAACTTCCTGTTGAGAGTAGGAATACAGTTTAGACTCGTGTACCCATTGGAGTATTCATCTGCATCGCAATGCGAGACAGAGAGGGTTTGTTGTTTCGTTCAGCGAGACAGAGTATGTTGTCTCGCTCAGCGAGACAGATTATGCTGTCTCGCTCAGCGAGACAGATTATGCTGTCTCGCTGGGCGAGACGGATTATGCTGTCTCGCTAGGCGAGATAGTGTTTTCTATCTCGCTGAGCGAGACAGTGTTTTCTGTCTCGCTTAGCGAGACAGAGTTTTCTGTCTCGCGATGCGAGCCAGCGAGTATAAAACTCGAACTTAGGGTTTTTAGGGCTTTTTCACGTCGATTTTGCAGCGACTTTTGGGCGATTTTCTTGGGCGATTTCAGGGTGATTTTTGACCAGTTCTTTGTCTCTTCTTCTTCTCTTCGTTCCTGATTTGTGTGAAGCTTTCGTTTAGGGAGATTCCACTAGGATTTGACAGGTTTATTCATCCTCTTTCTCCAAAACCTTGATTTTCTTCAACTGTGACTGTGCATGCATTGTTTCGGCCACACTTTGTGATATTTTGGTCGATTTCGTGCTTAAAATCCTGACTTTCTCGTTGGATTTTACTGTAGCTTGTGTACTCATCATGTCACCGCGACGATCCCGCGCTTCCCGAGGCCGTTCGACTGCCCATAGCCCTGAGGAGGCTGCCCCTGTTGCCGCTTCGCATGGGGGTACATTTCTCTCACCCTTTCGCGATTTTAAACACTGTATTTCATACGTCAATATTTGTGTTTGCATGCAGATCCTCGTTTGTATCCTTTGAGATACCCTCGAGAAGAGCCGGTATCCTCCTTTGAGGGGATCGACGCTTAAAAGTGTTTGTTTTGCTTTGACAAAACACACTTCAGAATACACAGGGGCGATTTCATATCATCCCACGTGTATTGAAAGGTTTTGGTATGCCGTTATAATGCCCGTGCATAGTAACGCATATCTCCTTTATACATGTGGTAGATGTAAAATCATCACGCCTGCTGTGGAGATAGCGACTATATCTTATGGAATAAGATATACCGCTTTTCTCTAAAATTTTAGGGCTATACTTACACGATTTATGTGTATGTTTCTTTTATCAGTCTGATTTCCTTCTTCCATCTTTACTGCTGATGCGGTTACGGGTCGGAGTAGCATGACCCACTCTTATTATGAGGGGATCTCGTTAATTGAATCATCTCCCCAGTTCAAATCTGGCTATAGCGAAAGTGCTAGAGAATTAATCCAGCGAGGTAGTTGTCGTGTTCTACGACGATTAATCACGGATGCGACCTTGATTTCGGAGCAAGACTCGAATCAATGTATAAGGAAGCCGGATTTCTTGTTTGGTGATTCAGTGAAAGATCCGGCGATTGCTTTCTGCAAGCCTACGCAATGGTTGCACCAGAGTGGGTCATCATTCTTATATCTGCCTTTTCTCCCTCGAGATCACTCACTGTTAAAGTTTAGGAACCTATCGGTTGGACGTGAGATGTTCTGGAGGTTAACTGAAAACCACGAGCGTATTCATTGTGGTTTCGTTGGGAAGGAAGCCAACCCAGGTTCCAGTGAAAGAGCTCATGTGCGGGGACTTCATCCGGGTGTCTTAGGACAAGACAATATACCTCAGAATGAGAAGATAGTGCAAGCCAACACCGTGAAGAACCTGTTAGCAGCAGCGGGACGAAGATTACCAAGAGAGAATTTTAGATGTTATGGATGGGTCCATTATTCTGGGGATAAATGGTGGTGGAGCAGGATGACCCGATATGTGTTGAACCGTTGGGGGCGAGAGTTAGCAGAATTAGGGTTGGATGTTCTGATCCGCACCAGCATGCATGGCCTGCAGATTAGTGTAGGTCATTTCCTCTGTTTGTTCGAGATCTACAACCCGGACACTAATACATTCTTTACCAAGAATGGGGAGCTCGGACTACCACTGCATGAAATGATGCAAGTGTCTGGTTTGCCTATGGGCGATGTTCCCTATCAAGAGTTCTTTCCAACCACCAATCAGCTAAACAAGATGAAAGATAGCTCAACTGTGACTCATGACACTTTATGGGAATTGACCTGCCATTATCATATAGCCATGGCCGAGATGGAGCCCAAAGACAGAAAGAAATCTCCTCAGGTCAGCTTGAAACAATTCGCCGATTATCTATTCAAGAACCTGGATGACCGTTCGGCAGATGTATGCGGATTGTCTCCTTTGAGTTCGGGTGAAATCAATCATCTATTAGAGAAAACAAACGCGCAATCTTATACCTCGCGCTCAGAAGACGGATTTTCACACGGCACTAAGTTCCGTCCTTATCTGTGGCAAGCTGGTGTTCCGATTAACCCTACTGCTCTGCTGGCGGGTTTCCTGGCTTTATGGCTAAAGAGGTGCGTAGTTCCCCACCAGTCCTCAGATGCGATGCCAATGGAAGTGTTGTATCCGGCCGTCCAGCTAGCTACAGGTCGCAAATTATCTTTGCTTCCCGCTATGGTGGCCGATATTCATAGTGGATTACGGCAATTAATCTCCGTGTTTACTCAGGAGAAAAAGAAACTCTCCACCAGTCTGTCCGTTCCGAAGTTGGAGCTACCCTACACTTATCTGATGACCTGGTTAGTACTTCATCGACCAGATTTAATGAAAGCTCCTGAAACGGTAAATCCCAGCCTCCCTCTGTTGCAGAATCTCGAGAATTGCAAATGGATCAGGCATCGAGGGCCAGACATAACGAGGCAGTTTAAAATTCACAAGTGTTGGGAATTCTTCCCCTGCTTCCCTCAGTTCTCCGGTACCTACAATACTACCTTAGTGGATGCTGAAGACCCAAGGCACAATCGCACCATCTTGGATGTCGGGTGCTTCAGATGGTTGATGAACATTCAACCTGGATATCTATTGTTCAGGGTAAGCGATGTTTGTCACATTGAACCCTATTTTCCATGTCGATTCGCCCGTCAGTTCGGCTATGATCAAATGTACGTCGGCAACCCGAATCATCACCTTAGCTTTCGAGTTGGACTTATCGACGGTGCGAGGGCTTGGTTCTGGAGCATCGCTGGTTGCACAAATGTTGAATTTGATCTCCCCTTAGAGGCGCCACCCCTACGGATGACCTTCCTCTTTTGTAAGTGGTTGATTGCCGCTAATATCGTCACTCGACGCAGGAGAATATCTGACTCAGAGGGAGAGGCAGCTCCGCGGCAAGCGGCAGAAGCGACTCGTGAGGCATGTCGACTCGAGGAAAAGAGGCTGTTGAATCTTCAAGAAAAGGAAAAGAACCGGTTCTTCCAGCTGGTAGTGAAGAGGAATTTGATAGTGAGGAAACGGAGACTTCTGAAGAGGCGGGTGAGACTGGCTCGAGTTCCGATGAAAGAGCTGGTCTCCCTGATTCTTTCTTTGAAAAGGGACTTGTAAGACCTTCCGTCGCTCTGGCCCAACCACCAGCTGTTCCGAGAAAACGGAAAGAGAGAGTCATCATGACCTATCCTAATCGGATGACGGTAGACGTTCTCAGTGGAGACGAAGAGGATGAAGAGAATACAATGCCTCTTGTTCGTAGGCAAAGATCTCAATCTTCCACTCAAGCTCAAACTCAAGTCCCTCCCAGCACTGAATTACGCACCAAACATCGTCACGAAGGTTCTGAAGCACATCCACTGAAGAAACAAAAGAAAGCTGTCTCCAAACCACGCGTTCATCTTCATGCTCTAGAAGAGACGTCTGGTCATAGTGTTTCTTCTGATGAACAAGGTAACTATTTTGTTTTTTTATCGCTTTTACATTTCTTAATGCTCAAACTTATTTCATGCTCAACTTCTGTAGGGAGTCGAGAAGAAGGAGAGTTGCCAGCTGATACTGTTTCTCCCGGAGGTATGGAGACTGAGTAGACCAGCTTCGTCCAGCAAATGCAAGATGCTCTGAAAGAAGGATCAGCTGATGTTTCACCAACTCCTGATATCGATCCATCGGCTGCGGATACAGGTACTGATCTTTCTCCCCTTGGAAGAGAAATCCGAGAAATGAATGAGTCAGACCATGTGCCTCCTTTAATGACTTGTGCGCTTGGTCTCCTTTTAGTTAAACTAAAAGAAGCAGGTACAAGTGGTGAAGCTCTTGAATCCGTCCCGACCAACGAAGGTAATTAATCTTTGTCTTGAGCAAATTCGTTTGAATTTACATGTCATTTACGATTCAACATGTTTTGTAGATGCCACGATGCATGAATCTGTTGGAGGAGAGGCCACGCATGTAACAGAGGTCGAGGAATTCAATGAGCATCACCTCGATTTTGATCTCTCTGAAGGCGACCATGAGTATATCTCCGACTTATTATCGGGGAAAACTCCTAGTGCAGCCACAGAATCCAACGTTGGAGTCGGTTCAACAGAAGCAGGTCCTTCTGAAAGTAATACCTCTATTCTGTAAACTCCATATATGCATGCATATATATTTTAACTTGATTAATCATATAAGTGTTTGAATTATAGAACCAGTTGCTGGAACTGATACTACTATAATCATTGGAATGTCTGATCGATCGGAGGGTAGTGAACTCGTGCCATGGGAAGGAATTGATGTTGATTTGCAATCATCAGTTCTTGAACCTCAACCTTCTACTCCTATAGACCCCATGATGATAGAAGTTACCGTCACTCCCCAAATTAGTCCAGTTGCAACAAAAACGAGACCAACTGAAGAAGTTGGTACATCAGCCGATGTGGTGTCCAGAGCTGGTAAGTTTTACCAATAACTTGTTTTAAATTTCGGATTATCATTCCATTATACTTATTATGATTCTTTTGTTTGCAGAATATTCTCCCAAGGAGCCTCTCAATTTAGACCCAAAGTTCTCTGAGGTTGAAATTGAAAAATCTTCTGACGTAGCCGGTGCGTCAAAAGCTGTCATTCCTAAACCGACTTTGGCTGCTCAGGAGGCCGAACTACCCCCATTGGGTGAACAATATCGTGCTGAAGGCTCTTCTGTTCAACTTGGTATGCTTCAACTTGTCGTTATACATGCAAACATATATTTTGTACTAACATATTTGTCTTCATCGCAGCTCCTTCCTCAACATTATTAAGTCAGATTCAGGCTTTATTGGCGGATGAAGACCCCGATAAAGCTGTTATTTGTTCTAATCTCCAAGGCTTTGTTTATTTTTTGAATACCATGATCGATCGCATTCTCTTCATAGGGTCACCTTTTGAGAATTTTAAAAGACCTCTATCGATCGCATTCTCTTCATAGGGTCACCTTTTGAGAATTTTAAAAGACCTCTCGACCACTACATATCGAAAATTAAAGAAGAAGGATACGGTGAGTTAGCCGATTCGCTCAGTGCTTATTTAGTCGACTTGAGGCGACATGTTGAACTTCTGAAGGATTTCCGCACCAAAGGCGTACCTTCCTATATCGCTTCTCACATGGACTTCAGGTTGCAAGTGTGGCGCGATTCTCAAACGTCTGCTAACTCCGACCTCCAAAATCTAAGAGCCCAGTGTAATCAACTTAGGGTGAGTGTTGGCAGAAAAACACAAGCCAAGGTCAATCGGCATCGGGACTTAGAGTCGAGTCGAGCTGAAATAGCCCGCTTGGAAGAACAACTTGTAAAGGCCAAGGATGCTCACGAAATTTTGGAGTCCGATTTGGCAAAAATAACTCAAGCTGAAGAAAGCTTATTTCAGCAACTGAATATTCAGGATCAGATACTTGCTGAGAAAGAGCGAGAGGTCGCCGAACTTCAGAGTGTTGATGAAGAAGCTTTCAAAGTTAAATCGACGGCTGAGCTTGAACATGCTTATGCGTTAGAGCTTTCAAAACTTGAAAATAAGATTAGTCAATATAAACTTTTGTAATTGGAGAACATATATTTTTTGTAGTTTTGTTTGAACATTTTTTTGGTCAATACATTGAATCTTTTTGCTCATTGAGGTTTTATTATGATTACTCATTCTTGTTTAGAATAAATAACCATAATACTCATAGGATTTTTTGCAAATCCTCAGCCATCAACGGATTTGATATGCATTTACCGACTACCGTTTGAGTCGGACTAGTATGTGAATTATCTAAATCCGTTTCACATATAACGTTGCGCTAAAAGAATTAAACTCTTTTAGACTTTGAACTATCATATTGAATATGTACGCTACATGTGTTAGATGTAGGCTTATCTCTAATAAGGGATAGAGATAACTTCCCCCATGTGTGAACGGCATGGATTTTGGAATGAGAGTAAATTATACTTCCTACACAGGAAAATGAACCAAGAATTGGAGAGAAAGAAGAATTGTATATTCTGTTTCTTAATCTCTTGTTTGTTGGTAGAGATAAACCCAGAATCGGAGAGGAAGAATTTTATATTCTATCTCCTGATCTCTTGTTTGTTGGTAGAGATAAACCCAAAATCGGAGAGTAAGAATTTTATATTCTATCTCCTGGTCTCTTGTTTGTTGGTAGAGATAAACCCAAAATCGGAGAGGAAGAATTTTATATTCTATCTCCTGGTGAAAAGGAAACTCAAAGTGGAATCTCCACTCAGAGAATCTGGGTTGGTTTGAATAACCCTAACTGTCATAAGGTTTGATTACTCAATTCAAAAGTTGACATTTCGCTCGCAAAATGAATCGAAAAGAGATTTTGGTTGTGGTCCTAACTGTAGTAAGGTTTGACCAAGTGGGGGTTTTGAGACGATCCTAACTGTAGGAGGGTTTGATCGCTCGATTTGTGGGCCTCTCGTTCATGGAACGAATCGAGAGGGGATTTTGGCTTTGGTCCTAACTATTTAAAGGTTTTGACCAATTGAGGAATTGGAGTAGGGTGTAAATAACAATGAGTTCGTTGATTTGCACAAACTACTCGGTGGGAAATTTTGATTTCAAACATAAGAATTTGACACGAAATAATCTGTCGACTGATACAGACTGATGATCATTGATCAATCCGACCGATGGGGGTTTCATAGCGTGAGATTACAAATCATCGAATCTCATCTTCCATGATTACATTACAAGGTTTTGCTGAGGGAAGATTAACTGTCATTAAATCTCATCTCAACAAAAGTAAGGAGATCTTAATCATTTTTATAACAATTAAGAATAGACTATTCACATGATCAGTCTTCATTTAGATAATCAACTGATATTGGGTTATCCAGAAATATCCTATACAGGATTCTCTAGGAACTTCCCGTTTTACATAGGTTATCCTGAACGTATTATGGATAATACTTTTTCAGGAACTTCTCATTTATTGGCATCATTAATTTGTTGTCATCCTGAGTAATCAGGCGATAAGCACCGTTTGAATAGACTGTCTCTATCACGAACGGTCCTTCCCATTTTGGTTCAAATTTTCTTTTCTTTTTGGAGTTGAGGATCATAGGTCGTCTCTCAGCTAGGACCAAATCTCCTTCTTTAAAACTCCATTGTCGAACCTTTTTGTCGAAGGCTCGGGAAATTCTGGCTTGGTAGAACTCAATGTGCTGTTGAGCTTCTAACCGCTTTTCATCGAGCATCTCGAGTTCTTCGAGACGTTTCTGATGTTGTTCTTCGGTTGTCATCTGGGTTACGAGAGCAATTCGAAGAGATGGAGTTTGTATTTCCAGTGGAAGAACGGCTTCACACCCGTATACCAACGAATACGAGGTCGCTCCCGTCGGTGTACGTACTGTGGTATGATAGGCCCATAGAGCTGCGCCAAGCTTGTCATCCCAATCCTGTTTATTTGTTTTCACAAGTTTTGATAAGAGCTTGATGATTGTCTTATTGAAGGCTTCCGCCAATCCATTTGCTGTGGGGTTGTATGCTGTTGACGAAATGTCTTGAATTCTGAATTTCTCGCAAAACCTGATAAAGGCATTGTTGATGAATTGAGGACCGTTGTCATGTATGATTCGTCTTGGGACACCATGCCGGTAAATGATATGATGTTTGATGAATGCGATGACGTTACTCGTTTTAACCTCTTTGAGCAGGATCGCTTCAGCCCATTTAGAGAAGTAATCGGTGATTGCTAGGATAAACCGATCACCTTTAACTGATGGTGGATTTATAGGACCAACAATATCCATTCCCCAAGTTTCAAATGGCCATGACGTTGCTGACGGGTGTAGATACTCTGGAGGCTGATGCATATAATTTGCGTGTAATTGACATGCTTGACATCGTCGGGCATACTCAGCTGCGTCCTTTATCATAGTTGGCCAATAATATCCAATTCTTCTAAGTCGGTTACAGAGCTTAGGACCGGGTTGATGTGCGCCACATATCCCCTCATGTGCCTCTTCGAGTGCTTGTTCTGCTTCCTTATTGGATAGATAACGGAGTAATAAACCGTCGTACGACCGTTGATACAACATTTGTGATTCAGCGTTGTAGTAAAATCTCGGTGCTCTCCGCCGAATCGAATCCCTTTCTTTCACATCTTCAGGTAAGATACCGTGTAAGACATAATCAATAATAGGGAAACGCCAATCTCGAACTTCGGGTTCAACTCCAGTTGAATATGCTTCTTTGGCAACCGAATCGTAGAGAGGAACAATAAGTTGGTGAGTTCTCACTGTAATTAACTGTTCTGTCTCGGAGGTTGAGCCAGAGATACCGACAATGCCGCCAATGCGTCTGCGTATGTATTTTGGAGACGCGGAACGTACTCGATGAAAAATTCTTCAAATGAGCTTGCCACCTCAATGGCCACCTGGTGGTATGGAATCAGGTCTTGATTTCTGACTTCATACTCTCCTCGAATCTGATTAACTACCAGTTGAGAATCTCCAAAAGCTTCAAGGTATTCTACCCCCAGCTCTTTGGCAAAATTGAGTCCAATTATTGATTCCTTTGATCTCGGTTACAACTTGATTACAAAAGAGAGGAAAACGAATTTGGT